GGTCACCGCCTATGCCTCGCGGTCCGAAGGGCCTCGCGCCTCGAAGGTTTACGCATTACTTAAAAGCCGTGAAAGCGACGAAAAAAATTTACTCGTCATAAAACGATAAATAGTTTGTCAAATTTTTATTCATAAAAATGCAGTTTCGACTGCTTTTTATTTTATAAAATCCGTCTTCTTGCGCCACCAAAGGGCCTTTTAAACAATAGATAGTCTGTTAGTGTTGGTCAGTAGTATCCCAAATTCGATACGAACGTTTGATTTCTTGAAAATTTGATCACGATTTAAATACAGCATTTGCTTTTAATATTACCGATATGTCATCGAACAGAAAACGTGTTGTATTATCATTAAAAGACAAATTAAAGTATTTGTTTCGATTATCCGGATTTTCCCGTATCCGGACTGCCTTCATCCCCAATTAGTCCGGATAATCGAGGTTCTACTGTATTATAAAATTTTAGAGATAATGTAATAAAAAATGATTATATTTGTTTAGGGAAGTTAGATCATTTCGTTATTAAATATAATCTTCACTTAACAGAACGTAAACAATATCAAGTTAAACTTACAGACACCTTAAACGTAAGTTAAATCAACATCATTACATAATTTCCGTTCGTCTTCTTTAAAAACTACGTGGAAAAAAAGAAAGAAAAACAAAATTAGACACGAGTAGAAGTACTATTTTGGTTAATTACTTTCAACTTTCTACTAACAACATTCCACTTAACTAATGAAAATCGTTATTTTAGTCACTTTAGTAATAAGAATGTTTTCATATAAGGCAATTTTCTTATATATTCCCACTGACGTTCGTCTGCCTGTCCGTCCGTTTATCCCTCGTTAATCTCGAGAACGTACTGTAGTTATATAGATGAAAATCCAGATTAGATGTAGTAAGTTTGGTGAAAGAATGGCTTCGATTAACTATATACGAACTTCTGGTCTAAACCGGAAGTCATGTGAATTTTTTTTTAAATTAAAATATGATTAAATATTTTAATGTAGTATTGTGATGATGTTAAAATAATATATACATTCGATTGTTACTATTATAATTTAAAAATTGAAGTAAATTTATTTTATATTAATTAATAGCGATTTATAATGTAATTTAGTTATTGGATAAGAGTATTTTATTTTTAAATAAAAGTAATTTTTCATTCATTCTAAAACTGTTTTCACGTTATTTAAAAAGAGGAGGAGGAAAAAAAAAATGCATTCTTCAGTCCAGACTGTCAAGAAGTTATTAATAAAATAACTTTCATTTTGATAATAGAACTTAAAGAAAAAACATGTGTATTTTAAGACGAAGAAAAACAATGACTATGATGAGTCATTTCAACATTTATATAAATCGTCTTAAATATGTATCAAATTATTATTATTTTAAGTTTATTCCAGGTTAATTGCAAAGAAAAATTCAAATAAATTCAAATATCTATTTTATAAATTCAAAATTTTAATGCTATTTTAATAACGTTAAAATTAAAAATTTTATAATATCAAAAATAAATTCTATTTATTAATAATTAAAATAATGTAATAATTTTTTTTAATTTCATTTTAAAAAATTCAGAAAAAAATAAATAAATTTTTCCTTTAAGAACTGTTTAAACTCATATAAATTAATCTACTGTAACGAAAAGAAATGTATATATACATATATAGTCTAATAACTAATTTATATATCTAGATTTAAAATCTAAATAATTATTTTTTATTAATTAAATATCTTAAATAAATACTTGTCAGAGAGAAAATCAAAATTAAAGGGTTATATTTGTTGCAACGTTCTTTAAAACATAAAAGAAAAAGTTGGCAATGCTTGCTCCTTTTTTTGGTTACAAGAGTTAAGTAAAAATAGGTACACGGAGAATAAAGAGTTATATCACTGTCATTTATTAAAAACGTTTTAAATATGAATTTATTAAATAAAAATCACAAATAAACATTCAGTAATTACTGAAACTACACTACAAAGCAATCGTTATACTATTCTAATATAAAATTTATAATTTTTCTTATGTATAGATATTATATGGTATACAATACAGTGTTTATCTACAGTTTAAAAAGTAATTAATTAATTTTAAGGTTTTGAATAGAGTGCGCCGAATGGAATCCATGTAGCAAATATGGATTCTCTTGGGGTACAGCTAACTTTCGTGCGATATCTCCGAAGATATAAAAGAAATTATAATTGTTTTCATATCATGAGAATTTTCACTTCTATTCTCTCACTTCTAAATTTATAAAACAAAATGTGATTAGTTTACGGTTAGGATTTAAGAGACAAATTAATAGATACGAAAATTTGCTTTATTCAATCAGGTGCAATATTCGAAGAGCATTATGAATACCTACAATGGGCTTTCAGGTTAGCCGTGGACCAAGTTAACAGAAATCAAAGTATCCTTCGTAATATGAAATTGCGAACTTCCATCAGTATAGTAAAGAAAAATGATGGATTTTTCTCTGCTAAAAGAGGTATTTTAAAATAATTAATAATAATTATTGTAGAAAATGTAAATATCTTATTTGTATTATAATTATTTTCTTCATACTTTTAGCTTGTGAAATGGTAAATGAAGGTGTAGCGGCAATTTTTGGGCCACAGTCAGTTCGAAGTGTTGCAGCTGTGCAAGAAGTAACGGAATCTGTAGGAATTCCACTTATCATAAATCGCTGGGAATACAGAACAAAACCAAATAACACTACAGTATTTTTACATCCTCACGCAGACGTTAAAGGTTATGCATTTAGGGATTTCACTGAATCCAAGCGATGGAAGTCATTTGCTATTATATATCAAGATCCTAAAGGTTAGTTTTAGAGAAATAGTTCTGTAATTATAAATTTAAATTATCATTAATTATGAAATGACATTTTATTATTTTAGCATTAATTCGTCTAAGCGCAGTTCTATCGGGAGTGAGGAACATGGAGTTAGATAATAATCTTAATATCACGATAAAACAATTAGAGCATCCTCAACAGCTAAGAAAAATATTTAAAGAAACAAAGAAGATGAATATTAGAAATTATATAATCGATATTGGTACTCAGGATGTAATTTGGGTTTTAGAACAGGTAAACTTTGATAGTTTTCTATATTTTAAATTATTAAGGATTATTTATAATTATATTAATTATTGCATTTAAAGGCAAAAGAGATGAATATGATAGACTTTTATCACAATTTTTTCTTCACTTCTTTGGTGAGAAAAATTTTAACTTTTTAATATGAATTTTCTTCATCATTGCTGATTTTTCTTTCTTCCTACAGGATGTTCACACACAAGATTTTAAACAGTTTCAAGGAATTTATTGCAATATTACTATGTTTCAAATTGTAAATACCAATCACTATCAATATAAAACAATTATAAAGGAAATGGAGACAGGAATTTCTCATATTGGTGTAAAAGAAAAAATCAAGCCTTATTTGAATACCGTAAATATATAAACAGTTTTTTTTCCATTTATTAATTTTACATATTATTATTTAATAAATAGAAATATTTCAGCAAATTTAAATTTTTATGAATTCATTTAAATTCCAAAATTTCATTACTAATTCGTAATATAATATAATTCTTACAAATGTTTTACATACCACTTCTTAAGTATAATTAATTATGTAGTTTTATATTTATTGTTTATAATTTTATTATTTCTAATTTATTTTGAATTTTTTTTTATTAATTTAATAGACACAGTTTGCACTTATGTATGATGCAGTATTTTATTTTGCAACGGCTCTGACGAAGCTTGGATCTTATCTTCAACCGACTACCGTTTCGCTTTCATGTAACTCAACAAATAAATGGTCACAAGGAAAAATTATAATCGATGCAATGAAATCAGTAAATTAATCTTACTGTAGTTATTTGCTTTGTTAATTCGCCAATCATGCAGTTAAAATAATTATAGAATTATTATTATTTATTTCTCAGATTAATTATGAAGGATTAACTGGTGTTATTAATCTAGATGAGAATGGTTTCAGAACCAATTTTAACTTATTAGAGACTAGATTGCTGTGGGGAAAATTAAACGTGGTATGTAACTATTATAAATAATAATTTTGTTGTCTTTATATAAAACTATAATATATTAATTTAAGCAAATAGTATTAAATAATACAGACAGTCCTCGGTTAATATGCTAGATACGTTCCTTAAAAGTAGCGTCGTGAGTGAAATTCTATCTTATATAAGAATACAACCATTAATGAATGCATTCTTGAGGTATGATGTATACACCTGATTATCTTCTTAGTTTTTCAATTCTCAGGACGATAAGTCACAAGGTATACATGATTCAGAAAAGATATGTTTATGATAACTAATCTACTAGTGCATTCTTCGAAACGCATCTAATATATAATCGAGACGGGTTGATAATAATAATAATAATAATAATAATAATAATAAGCGCAGAGCCCAAACGGTTAGGAGGCACAATTTGGTACACAGATAGGGTACGTCACGAAAACGCGCACTAAGAAGGGATTTTTCGAAATTCCCCCGGAGGGGAGAGAGACAGGATTAAAACTTCTATATACATTATGGATACGAGCCCAAACGGTTAGGAGTTGAAAGTTGAAATTTGGTACACAGTTTGGTACGTTAGGAGAACGCACACTAAGAAGGGATTTTTTGAAATTCCTCCCCACGGGGGAGAGGGACAGAATTAAGGCTTAACACTTCCATCAACAATGGAAGTGTTAAGTAACAATGGAAGTGCTAAGTAACAATGGAAGTGCTAAGTAACAATGGAAGTGCTAAGTAACAATGGAAGTGTTAAGTAACAATGGAAGTGCTAAGTAACAATGGAAGTGCTAAGTAACAATGGAAGTGTTAA